TTTGGTATTATTTTATCCTAAGGATTCGAAACTTGAGTTAATCGGTTTTGCAGATACAGGCTATTTATCCGACCCTCATAAAACTCGATCATAGACTGGATATGCTTTCACAATTGGAGGTACTGCAATATCATGGCGTTCTTAGAAACAAACATTGGTTGCAACATCTTCGAATCACGCTGAAGTTATTGCACTTCATGAAGCAAGTAGAGAATGTGTGTGGTTCAGGGTTGTAACCCGCCATATACTAGAAGCGTGTGGATTACCGATTAATATCGATCCAACGATATTATTCGAAGATAATGTTGCATGTGTTGTCCAAACCAAAGAAGGATACATAAAGAATGATCGAACGAAACATATTCCTCCGAAATACTTCTCTTACACTTAAGAGCTCGAAAAGAACAAGGAAGTTTATATTCGATCAAGTGACAACGTAGCTGATTTATTCACAAAGGCACTCCCTACTTCAACATTCCAGAAGAATATTCAGAATATCGGAATGCGTCGTCTTCGAAGTTTATGAAGAAACGTATGCATATTGGTTCAAGGGGGAGATTGTAAGATTGTACTCTTTTTTCCTCGTCATGGTTTTTATCCCATAGGGTTTTTCCATGATAAGGTTTTTAATGAGGCAGTTCATACTAGATGTCTAAGGGAGAGTATTGTGAATATACAAGTAGTATCTAGTGGGACCCATATTATCTAGTGGGACCCATATTATGTTCTTCTTCACTATGAAGAAGCTGACCCTTCTTCACTATGTAGAAGGTGATCTTTCTTCACTATGAAGAAGTTCCTTATATTCATCTATAAATAGGTCAGTGATGTAGTTCATTTGAAACATACGAAATACGAAGAACTTTCTCTCTCTTCTCTCTATCATACTCTTTCTCTCTCTAGAGCATCTCTCTCTTGTTTTTCGTCTTTCGTTTTCAATATATATATATATATATATATATATATATATTATAGTTATTGTTCCACGAGAACATAGAACTATATGTTGTTTCGCTTTAAAAAAGGAAGACAAACACTTTTCTCCATTGCTTGACAAGTCTGTAGCTCTGTATACAGGTGGCTCATTTCTTTCCTCCATTGCTCGACAGGTGTGTACTGTGTAGTGTAGATTTTTTTTTATATGATAAAATATGTTATGTATAATAATTATGTGTCGAGAATAGATTTTTTTTTCAAATTATTTGCCGACGGAGTGTGCGGATTTTTTAAAAATTGTGTAATGCTACGTATATATGTTCAAGTTTGTTTATATAATTATAAATCTTATAATAATTATGTTTTCTTTTTATTTTCTAGTGATTCTAGTAATTCGGGAAACAGTTCGGGAAAAGATACCACAAATATTTCTGACCCAACGCGAAAGTATGGTACTCCAGATCCTAGTAATCGAAATAATCTTTTATGCAATTTCTGTCAAAAAGTTACTAAAGGAGGAGTTTATCGGTTGAAACAACATTTAATTGGAAGATTTAGGAATGTGGTCAAATGTTCTCGTTGTCCCGAGCATGTGAAAATAGAAATATAAGATTTTATGAAGAAAAAAGCATCTTTAAAGATTGAAAGTCAAATGATATCTCGTGAATTTGAATTGGTTGGTGACTTGGATGGAGAAGAAGAGGAAGCTTCTTCAACAAAAAACAAAGAACAAAGGGGCCAATGGATATGTTTGTCAATCTTAAAGCTGATCCGAAGAAAGATGGGAATGAAGTCTATAAAGCAATTGACAAGAAGCTCAAGGAAAAAACTTGTATGTCAATAGCAAGATTTGTTTACGATAATGGAATTCCGTTCAATGTAGCTACCAGCCCAAGTTATGCAGAAATGTGTGAATCTATTAGACAATACGATCCAGGGTTGAAACCACCATCCATGTATGAATTAAGAGTTTCATTTCTTGTTCAAGAAGTAAGTGATACGGAGGTATATTTGAATGAGCACAAGGAGTGGGCATAAAAGGGTTGCTCAATTTTATCGGATGGGTGGCGTGATTCGATTGCTAATAAGGATATCGTGAACTTTCTTGTCAACTTCCAAAAGGTTCGGTTTTTCTTAAATCGATTGATGTCTCAGAAATTTTAAAAGACGCTAATTTATTATATCATTTGCTTGATGACATTGTCGAGAAAGTGGGCGAGGAAAATGTGATCCAAGTGGTGACAGACAATGCTTCTAATTATGTCAAAGCTGGTAAACAATTTTTTATTTTATTTTTAGTGTTTATTTGTCTAAATATTTTTAATAATACTTTTTGTTAACTTGTAGGAAAATTGCTTGAAGCAAAAAAATCACATATTTTTTGGACTCCGTGTGTAGCACATTGCATCGATCTCATGTTGGAAGATATCGGAAAAATTCCAAAGATAAAAAATGCACTAAAGAAGTGCATGCACATGAATGGCTATATATGTAATCATGTTGCTCTTGTAAACATGATGAGACGATTTACAGGTCAAAAAAATTTGCATAGGCCCGCAATCACCAAGTTTGCTACATCGTTCATCACTCTTTTGCAGTACCACAAACAAAAAAATAATTTGAGGAAAATGATTACTTCACAAGAATGGAATGAATCCAAGTGGTTAAAGGAAACGGGAGACACAAGATTGACAACATATCTTTTGCAAGATAGTTTTTGGAGGGATGTGCTTTATACTCTTAAGTTGACAGGATCTCTTGTTAAGGTTCTCAGGATTGTTGACGGAGAGAAAAAACCACCAATGGGATATATTTATGCAGCGATGGATAGGGCTAAAGAGACTATTGCTTCGAGTTTTATATTGAAAGAGGAGCATTACAGTGTAGCATTTGAGTATATTGATAGAAGATGTGAATGCCAACTTCATCGACCTTTGCATGCAACCGGTTATTTTCTAAACCCAAGTCTCCATTATGATAACCCAGACGCAAATTGTGAAGAAGTTATGAAGGGTGTCTATGAGTGTATTTCCAGATTGTCGGATTCTATCGATACAGAAAATCTAATAATAAAAGAAATAGCATAATGTAGATCTGCAAATGGTCTATTTGGTTTACCGGCAGCCATTAGACTAAGGAATACACAATCTCAGGTATCAAATTTTAAAATTTAAAATATATATTATATTAATTATGGTGTATTAAGAATTACTAACGCTTTTTTTCTTTACATTTTTATAGCGGACTGATGGATTTCTTTTGGATCTTCTACTCCTCATCTCCAAAAGTTTGCTATAAAGATCTTTAGTCTCACATGCAGTACCACTAGTTGTGAAAGAAATTGGAGTGTTTTTTAACAAGTAAGTAATATCTACCATTCTTTTTATTTATATTAAATAAAATTATGCATTTTTTATATGTTTTAAATTTGATTTTCAGATTCACACAAAGAAGAGGAATAAGTTAGCACAAAGTCGATTAAATGACTTGGTTTATATCAAATATAATCGAGATTTGAAATGGCGACACAACATGAATGACACCAAAGATCCTATTATGTTGGAAGATATTGATGAAAGTAATGAATGGCTAATTGGTAGAATGGAAGGTAGCTCAGATGAAGTCAATGATTTTGTGTTTAGTGGTGATTATGGTCTCACGTGGGGCCAAGTTGGTAGAGCTGCTGGAGCCCATGATCCTTGTTATCATACTAGAGGATCAACAAGTGCAAAAAATAGTACTACTTCTTCCTCGTCAATTCATAAAGGAAAGGGTATTGCTTATTCCGATGAACATGAAGAAGATCTCGGTGAAGACAACGATTATGAAGATGATGGAGAATATGAAAATGTCGATCTTTGTTTATTTTACTTGGACTTATTTTAGATAATTTGGTAATTGAATTTTATATTTACAGTATATTTAAATTTTATATTTACAGTATATTTAAATTTTATTTTTACTAATTTTTTATTTACGCGCCTCGCATACGTGAGGCGCGCGCCTTCGTCTTGCGCCTCACGCCTCGATTTTTTAGACTTTTTGCGTCTTGAGCTACCTCACGCTTTTTTAAACCAAGGTGACCAGTGAGACCAGTGACCAGTGTGAGCAAAGTGACCAGTGGGATCGGTGACCAGTGTGACCAGTGTGAAATGTCTATACAACACCGATTTTAGTAATATATATAAGAAAAATGAGGTCAGATCTATACACATGTGAGGTCGAATTAAACCGAAAATAAATGTTGGGTTGTGCGATGAGAACTTGCCTTTTTTCCAGATCTATACAGATCTGACTTAACTCCTGTGATTTGATGCAATTTTGACGGTAGTTTCTCTGAGATTTCGCCGGTAGATTTGACGGTGAATTCTGGTTTTTTTCGGCGGAAATTTATGGGGAGAGAAACGAGAAAAGAGAGAAACGCGAGGCAAATCGAGGGATTTCGCCGGTAGATTCGCTGCGATTTCGCCGGTAAATTTTGGTTTTTTCTGGCAAGAATTTATCGAGAGAGAAGTTGGGAAACTGCATGAGGAGAGAGAAACGAGAGGAGAGAAAAACGCAAATCGATGGATTAAAAAATGTGTTATCTAAAGATTTTTTTTTTTCGCCAGGTGAGAGTTATGCCATGAAGTATTTGTAGCAAAGTAAAGATATTTTTGATAATGCTCCGGCTAAGCCCTTAGCCGGAATTCAAGTCGATCCGAAAGCCCAATTTATTTTGTTTTAAAAAAATAAATGACTTTTTTTATATATTAAATGGGACAGCCCAACTCGATTCGAATATAGGTCCAAAAAATTCGGATCGGCCCGAATCCGAATCCAAAATTTTCGTGCCGAGTGCAGATTCGGCCCGGGTGGACCGACCCAATTGATACCCTAGCTTCAGGACCTGCAACTGAGACACACAGAGCCAAGAAGAAGGCCGAGAGCACACACCAATGTTGTGACACCCGAAACCCGTATCCCGCAATACGAGTTGCGCCACATGGACAAGTAAAATAAAAATCGCATTTCCAAAAAAATTTGCGGGAATTTAAAACTTTTGTTTTCAGAGTTAAGCGGAAGAAAACATTCATACATACATACACGGTACATTATTCCAGTTATAATTATACATTAACAGTGGTAGAATCACATTATTACAAACCATAAAAGTCTACCACCGCTATGATTTTCCAAATACGTAAATGTACCGTAGAAAAATAATTATACATGATCGCACAGCAGGTCACCCAAGTCTCTGACGTCCGCCGCTCCTCAGCTACTGCTGCTCACGACCTGAAACGTTGCGTAACAACGTCCTAAGCTAATTGCTTAGAGAGTGAACTCGGGCGTAACCCGGAGTTCCATTCTCATGGTGCCAGGGAAAGCACAAACATATATATATATGTGTGTATATACTATATTCTAATAAACAGGAATTAAAAAACATGAATCACTGTAAGCACGCAACAATCACAATCAAGTCCGTACGACAAGTCGGCCGTACGACAAGTCATAGGACAGAGTCCGTCAAATCGTCTCTACGCGCACCATGCGTAGGTATGTACTCCCCATGTGCGTAGTACAACCACCTCTCTCCTCGGAATCCATCTACTCCGCACACACTCGGAATCCGGTATAAGTATTTTTTATTTTCTCCGCCCGAACACATCACCCCACCCTAGCATCGATGTCACCTCTCGATACTAGGCGTGTCACCCAACTCCGGCATTGATGTCACCTCTCAATACCAGAGTTCACCTGACGTCGGCTACAACCGACGCCGTCGACTATAACGAGAGAGTCAATCGCTGCAACTTTCCCTTGCCGACCATCCGCCGCGGAAATACTTGTCAGGTTCGGGCCCGAACCTGACAGAGTAAGTCCGTACCACCTCCTCGGGAGACCACAATCCGCCCGAATCTCAGGTATGTGTGATGCCCTCATCCTCGGGATACTCATATCCCGGGGTCCGCTCCGTCGCTAACAGATACGTTGGCGCGGTTCTAAAAAAACCGTGTGTTCCTCGTCACGCAATAGTACCGACTACAATCGGCTATCCACGCAAGTCATCGGGGTGCCCATAACCGTCCTATCATTCGGACGTTGGCGCGATTACATTATCGCCGCATTCACAATCATATCCCATACGGGTGACATCCGACCCGGATCAGATGGCCCGTAGATGGGACGCAATCTCGCAAACATTGTGTCATCATTCACAAACGTCTGTTTCTACAATCACGCGCTAAACGTTAATCCGAACCCTTCCGAATTAACGCTAGTGTCATGCCAGCTACCCCGATCACATGCATTTATATAGTTTATTTACTATACATACAATTCCGCTTGCGTAGTCTTTTATATTTCTTTATATATTTTCTTTCAGTCTTTTCATTCATACTACTGTATTGTACCTCCGGTACGACTTACCTGGTCCCGGTCCGCCCGGAAAAACCAGTTCAGTTCGTTCCGTGATTTTTACCCTTACCTTGCTTTTATTTTGGGTCCAGACTACGTGGGGTCTGGTCTGACCCATATTTTCGGTATATTTTACATTTTATCTTTTCTACCAAATTCGCACAAACACACGTGATTTGCTACGGGTAATTCACCAAAAATTCTTATTTCACTCAAAGCATGAATCATACGTCATTTAATCATGGGACACTCCAAACCCAAACCCCATGTCAATAGACTTCCGAATTAAACTCGAATTCACTCACCTCGGGTTATGCTTGCGGGTTACGGGTAGTGGGTAGCAGATTGTGTGATGGATAGAGAACTTCCTAGAGCTCCTCTGGGTCTGTAGAAGTCAAATTGAGTATTAAAATTCTTGGCTTCGGGCGATCATCCTAAACTCTTTTAGTTTTTCACTTTAACTTTAATTTTATTCAAATTAGGTTTTGGTCTATTAGATATTTATTTATTTATTTATTTTTAACGTTATTCCGTAAGTTTCGGTATTGACCGAGAACATATACCAAAGAGTTCTATCTTTCGAGCTTCATAACTTTTTCTATACAGGTCTAAATTATACGTTCTATATCTCATTAAAAAGATCTCTTCGATATCTACGTATAGACACCAAGATCACTCAATTCCGACATCGGGATAGGAAGTTATGAGTAAAATACTCTGACTGTATAATTCACGGACGATAGCGCTATCGCGCATGCACGATAGCACGATCGCGCATGCACGATAGCACGATCGCGCAGGCACGATAGCGCGATCGCGCATGCACGATAGCGCGATCGCGCATGCAAAAATTGTCCAAAATTGACAGCAAACACGATCGAACAATTGGAGACCCACGATCGTTCGATCGTGGGTTAAATTTTAATACAGTTGGGCCTAAGGCCCAAATAACACATTATAATTAATGCGATCGATCGATCGATCGTGCTAATGCGATCGATCGATCGTCAATCATCTTCTCCGATTACATTTTTGGTTTGCGCTATCGATCGATCGTCGATTACCGATTGGTCGATCGTCGCATCTGTTCAGAAATTTCTCGATTTCTTGTTGTTTTTGCCAGATTTTTATATCAATTTATTTCCAGACTAAGACCCATCGTTCCTATACCAGAAATTTACGAAAAATACCGATTTTTACCATTAAACGGTGAAAACAGAAATTTCAAACAAAACCCGAGCCACTCACTTTCAGACCGTTTCGGTCGACGTTTTCGGCGTTGGTGACACTGTGGTTGTGGGAGGAGTCTACTGATACAGTTCGGAGGCCACAAGGATTCCGTTTGAGGCTTGACGCGCCTCTCTTTCTCTCTCGGTATCTTGCGAAAGAGAGGAACGGAGGTTCGTTTTATTGGCAGAAAGCCATGTGGGACTGGGGACAGGAGTGTGGAGTTGGTAGCGGCGGCGTGGAATTTTTCGTCAAATGGCCGTCGTTGTCACTTTGTATTCCGACCGACGATCGGTCGATCGTGTTTGGTCGATCGATCGATCGTCATCGTTTTTTTTTTTAATATTTTTTTTTTCAAATTTACGGGTTGTTACACCATCATAAATAAAAATGCAAATAAACTTCAATTAAACAACACTTGGGGTTGAGATTATCATTAACACTCGGATGTTGAAGACAAATGTCTCAAAATTGGGGAAAAATACATAAGCTGGAAACTGATCTTAAAGCCTCTTTAGATCCTATCGATATCTTCGTCCTCAAACTCGACGTAATCATCATCAGCGGCATTGTCATCTTCATCCAGATCTCCCACGATTCCTTCGTTGAGACGGGTATTATCCGGAAGCTCGCCGTATGCCTTCAGGAGCCTAGCTTCATCAGACATGTACTTGAGGATGACGTCAGCTTTGTCGTCCTGGAAATCCCTCAGCCCGACCAGTATGATGTCACCAGCCGCTATCCACACCTTCTTGTGCATCTTTCCTCGGATATGGCATAGCCGTTTCACTCCGTCTATGCACATCGCTTCACATCTACCGTTACCGAGCATACGAAGAACTTGGGCGTATTCCTGCCCGTCTTCCTTGAACACCAGCTCACGCTTTTCGTCATCAGCTTCGTTCTTTCCTCTCTTCCTGTTCTTTCCTCCCTTTCCCTTGTTCTTCGGCATTGTTTCTGCGTTTTTTCCAAGACAAAACCAGCTTACAAACCAGATTACTAGAAGAACAGATGTGTTACTGTAGGAGATGAATGTCAGTTTTCATTTTTCATATAATGCTCTGCCAGAACAATTGAGAAAGAATCCCCAAGTGCTTTAGAAGATCATCTTACATTGCCGTGAATGTGGTTTTCTTTAGAAAACTCGGCCTTTACACACTTTCTGCAACAATTGCCTCACCTGTCGATTTATTCTTATGACATTTCAAACTTCCATTTGATCCCCACATCTATGTTTTGTTATTTAATCACAAAAGTCCATTTCCAATTTGACTCAAGCACATATACAAGAAGATTGCAAGAATCATTACCGTATAATACAAGAAGCAACACCTAACCAAGCAAAATCTATTCTACTCTAAACCCTAAAACCAAAGACCAGTACTATCTCAAGCCCAAATAAGAGCGCAGACCATGGCAACAAAGATCAGCCCTGATGAAAGAAACGAGGAAAAAAAGCAGATAAAGGAAGTGAAAGCAAATATCAAAGAAAGATCTTTCAACCGTAAATTTTGCTTTTGAATCTGTTTAGATCATACGTACACAGAAAATTTCCGTGACAAAAGCAAGAACTGAAAGCAAAAATCAAAGGTTAAGGCTTGACATAACATACTGTTTGGTTATGAATCAGCTAGAGCATTTCACAATTAAATCTCACATTCTTGCCCTAGAAAACTGCTTCTAAATCAAATCCCAATTCAATACATAACCTTTAGCGAAATTGACTCATCCAAGAATCGAAACCCTAGAATCGATATCCGCATGCACGTATTCCTCACAAGTCATAACAATAATTTTGATGTACAAAACGAGATACTCATGCTCACATCTAGGGATTCAGCAAAAGAGATTCTGAGTATCCCCATTCACAAAATTTCGAAAAAAATCCAAGACTGCTATGTCATCATAAGACAGAATAATATTCACCTTAATTCAAGAAAAAAAACAATTCCCCACCGCAAATCAAACCTCCGGAAAAGAAGATAAATTATCGATCAAGCACCCACCTCCCCCCACCCTAATTCGATTGCTACGAACCCTAAGAACCCAACAGAGAGCGAATCTTACCGTTAAGGAGCGATCAAGGCCGTGTTCTACGATTCAGGAAAAATCACTACAAGCTTGGAAGCGATAGATTCGCAAATCTCTCTCCCTCACGGAAATCGTATGAATGTTCCGTGTAGCTGCGGCTGCTGAATTTTCCCCACAGCTCGCAAAAAATATCCTTAAATACTAAAGGTTTCCAAAACTACCCTTGAGCTTTAGTTTAATTACCGTAACGCCACCCGTCCGTCCGTACCCGTACGTGTTTTCAACATTGGTTACTACTCGAATCCAAAATTTGGTTCTCGCTGCCATCTGAGGTTTTAACACATATACACACACACACACACATATATGTATGTATCCGGTTTTCTGTTAATCTTATTATACCGGCCTCTTTCCGAAGAAATTTTATGTACAGTAAAAAGCCGATTTAACGTTGTTACAAAGAATGCTTTCTTGTAAAATGAGTGCATGCATTGCATTGAGAGTTTCATAAGCGCAAAACAAATTACAAAGTGGTATTCTCGTTATGGAGAACCGTTTTAATAGGTCACGAGGAAGATGGAAAAACGAAATACCCTGCATAATCGGAAACGTTAGCGTTGGACCGTGGGATTTCCCTACTTATTGTTCCACGAGAACATAGAACTATATGTTGTTTCGCTTTAAAAAAGGAAGACAAACAACGGAATATCCGATATTTGGTTTTGGATCCGGAAGAATTTGGATTGCAGACGAGTAATAAAGGGTATCTGAATAGGACCAAAATCAGGATTTTTATCCTAGTTTGTTTATCTCAATTTAGTTTTGCATCCGACCTATCTACCGATATACGATAATTTGGATTATCTGAAAGTCACGATATTCATTGACGCTGGATTTAGGATCGAATTTCATCCTAAAATCCGAATCATGTGGATGATATATTTGTAGAGGGAAAGCAGATAACAACCTAATTCCATCATCAGTCCCGTCAAATCATTGCAAGCACAATCATTTTGCTCGACGCATAAGGAACGATATAACCAATAATTATTTTCCCTTTCCATATTTCCACAAGATTATAATAATATATTAAAATTTAAAAAAAAAACAAACAAACCTTTTCATTTCACACAAAAGACTTAGTCGGCACGTATGAGATGGATTGGTATCGACAGTCCAAATATATATATTAAAATTATAGCTAGCCCCATCTGCAATAATAATAATAATAATATAATAAATAAGCATGGTCGCCTGCAAATCCCACCATACCACCTCCCCACTTGCCCTCCTCCATTCTATCAACAATCATCATCAACATCATCATCATCATCATCTTCTTCTTCTTCTTCTTCTTCTTCTTCTTCTTCTTCTTCAATTGCAATGTGATTAGTATTCCAATCATACTCACTATCTTTGTCCTAAACCCTAAAAAATTCTCAAATCAACCGATGATTCTACAGCTAGTTTCATTGCGTTGTTCGAATCTATGTATCATCGTTCGTATCAAGAACATCAGCCAAGGATCACAACCTCACACTCGGGAATAAGATTATCCCTGGATCCAAACACATAACCCTCGATCCCTGCATTTGCTTGCTCTTACCAAAATCTCCATCACCTGTTCGCAAGATCTAAGAAACAAAGATGATAGAGTACTGACTCCCGCACTCACCATCAAACCAGTCGACCATTGCCCCATGCTTATCAACCAAACACGACAGGAACTGTATGTGTGTGCGCGCGCGTATATTGTCAACAATAAACACAGCTTTCTACAGATAGATTCATCAAACAATAAGGGTTACGTCCTGTCCTAATCGATGGGAACGTGGACAGAATCTGATCCATCTTAAGATCTTGCAAGTTGCAGATGAAATCTTTAGCTGAGAGCATAAGATGGTCGAAGAACAAAACCCAGATCGTTCAAGCATCATAAACAGAATACCAATTCCACTTGTAAGAATCTATCATATGCATAGATTTAATCGTAATGTTCTCCACTCTCGATCCATACAAGATCGAAGATGATATAACTTCTTTTCGATTTTATCGATTTTTTTTTCCTGATTTAAAAACAAAGGAAGACTTTTAAGAACGATAAACCCAATAATCAGAGACACAAAGCGGTCACCTTCAGATCTTCGCCGGAATCGTGATCCTCCATCGGAGGCGGCAGGTTGAGATCGAAAGGCAGGACCTTACGGAACGACGAGGTGAGGACGCAGTCGTCGTCGTCGTCGACCACTGAAGAAGAAGAATCGCAGTCGCTACGGCAATCATCCGGTGGGCGAGGCTGCACCGGTTTCTTGCGGTGTACCACCACCTCCGATCCAGGTCTCGAAACCCTAGGACCACTGAACGACTCCACCGTGCTGCTCATGCTACTCGACGCTGGACGGTTCACCGGAGACGAACCGAATCCGGTACCCCGATTCTCCTCCGATCCTCCTCCTCCTCCTTCGCCGCCGTCAGCCATGTATGGTTGATGGTGATAATTAACGTTCGGGGAATCTGGCAAGGGGAAATTGGTCTTCGCCTTCGGTCCCCGGAGATTACGCGCCGCCGTATCGTACGCACGCGCCGCATCCTCTGCGGAATCGAATGTTCCGAGCCACACGCGCGCCTTCTTCAACGGATCCCTGATCTCGGCGGCGAATCGGCCCCATGGTCTCTTCCGTACACCTCTGAAACGAATTTCCGGCAAGCCGTTGGCCGCTGCTGTCAGATCTACCGGCTTTGCTGGCGCCCCC